AAAAAAAAAAAAAAAAAAATTTTTTTTTTTTTTTTTTTTTTTTTTTTTTGAGGGGGTGGGGCTGGGGATGCGCCCCCCCATGGCGCTTTCAAAATCCCCAACCCCCCTCCCCACCGGCCGCCACTCGTTCGCAAAGTGGCGCTTCCGTGCAGACTCGTCCGCGGCGGTAGCGGACTCGGCCGCGTCCGCGGATCGGCCGCGCTTGTCCGCCGTCGAGGGTGTTTCGTAGCCACTAGGACTTCAGCGTGGTTTGCAATTGGAACTGATATGCCATCTGCTCTTTGCTTGACTACTTGGTTCCAATGTGTTCTCCTCACATGGATGGTTTCTTGCTTGGCACCATCGGGCGCCGCGGCGACAACTGATGGTGTCCCCGTCCACGCCGTCGACCGGACCATCGAGCTCCGACGCGACACCCGATGGTCGGGTGTCGCCCCGCCGCACGAGGGTCGGGCCCGGTGTGGATGGTTTCTGGGTTCCAACGTGCTATCTGCTCTGTGCTTGACTACTTGGACTTCGGCGTGATTCGCAATTCCGATTTCTGCACTTCGGTCACACCTGCATGGTTTCTTGGTTCCAATCTGTTGTCTGCTCTTCGCTTGACCACTTGGACTTCAACGTGGTTTGCAATTGGAACTGATGTGCCATCTGCTCGTTGCTTGGCGACTTGTTTCAAATGTGTTGTCCTTCTCACACAGACGGTTTCTTGATTGGCACCATCGGGCATCGCGGCGACAGCCGATGGTTGCCCCGTTCACACCATCGGACGCCAAGGCAACAGCCGATGGTCTCCCCGTCCATACAGTCGACCGGACCATCGAGCGCCTACGCCACACTCGATGGTCGGGCGTCGCCTCGCCGCACGAGGGTCGGGCAAATGTGGATGGTTTCTTGGTTCCAATGTGCTGTCTGCTCTGTGCTTTACTACATGGACTTCAGCGTGATTCGTAATAATACTTATTTGGATTTCTGCACTTCGGACACACATGCATGGTTTTTTGGTTCCAATGTGTTGTCTGCCCTTCGCTTGACCACTTGGACTTTAACGTGGTTTGCAATTGGAATTGATGTGCCATCTGCTCTTTGCTTGGCTACTTGGTCCCAATGTGTTGTCCTTCTCACATGGATGGTTTCTTGGTTCCAATGTGCTATCTGCTCTTCACTTGACCACTAGGACTTCAGCGTGGTTTGCAATGGGAACTGATGTGCCATCTGCTCTTTGCTTGACTACTTGGTTCCAATGTGTTGTCCTTCTCACATGGATGGTTTCTTGCTTGGCATCATCGAACGTTGTGGCGACAGCCGATGGTCTCGCCGTCCACACCGTCGACCGAACCATCGAGCGCAGACGTGACACCTGGTCGGGCGTCGCCTCGCCGCACAAGGGTTGGGCCCGGTGTGGATGGTTTCCGGATTCCAATTTGCTATCTGCTCTGTGCTTGACTACTTCGACTTCAGTGTGATTCGCAATTCGGATTTCTGCACTTCGGTCACACATGCACAGTTTCTTGGTTCCAATGTGTTGTTTGCTCTTCGGTTTACCACTTGGACTTCATTGTGGTTTGCAATTCGAACTGGTGTGTCATCTGCTCTTTGCTTGGTTACTTTGTTCCAATGTGTTGTCCTTCTCACATGGACGGTTTCTTGATTGGCACCACCAGGGGCCGCGGCCACACCCGATGGTTGCCGCATTCACACCATCGGGCGCCGCAGTGACAGTCGATGGTCTCCCCGTCCACACCATCGACCTGACCATCGAGCGCCGACGCGACACCCGATGGTCGGGCGTCGCCTCGCCGCACGAGGGCGGGACCCGATGTGGATGGTTTCTTGGTTCCAATGTACTGTCTGCTCTCTGCTTGACTACTTGACTTAGCGTGATTCACAATTTGGATTTCTGCACTTCGGTTCCACATGCATGGTTTCTTGGTTCCAATGTGCTGTCTGCTTTTCACTTGACCACTTGGACTTCAACGTGGTTTGCAATTGGAACTGATGTCCCATCTGCTCTTTGCTTGGCTATTTGTTTCCAATGTGGTGTCCTTCTCACATGGATGGTTTCTTGGTTCCAATGTGCTATCTGCTCTTCGCTTGACCACTAGGACTTCAAAGTGGTTTGCAATTGGAACTGATGTTCCATCTCCTTTTTGCTTGACTACTTGGTTCCAATGTGTTGTCCTTCTCACATGGATGGTTTCTTGCTTGGCACCATCGGGCGCCGCGGCGGCAACCGATGGTCTCCCTGTCCACATCGTCGACCGGACCACTGAGCGCTGACGCGGCACCCGATGGACGGGCGTCGCCTCGCCGCACGAGGGTCGGGCCGGATGTGGATGGTTTCTTGGTTCCAATGTGTTGTCTGCTCTGTGCTTGACTACTTGGACTTCAGCGTGATTCGCAATTCGGAGTTCTGCACTTCGGTCACACATGCATGTTGTCTTGGTTCCAATGTGCTGTCTGCTTTTCGCTTGACCACTTGGACTTGAACTTGGTTTGCAATTGGAGTTGATGTGCCATCTGCTCTTTGCTTGGCTACTTGGTTCCAATGTGTTGTCCTTCTTATATGAACGGCTTCTTGCTTGGCACCATCGGGCGCTGCGGCGACAACCAATGGTTGCCCCGTTCACACCATCGTGCACTGGCGACAAGTGATGGTCTTCCCGTCCACACCGTCGACCGGACCATCGAGCGCTAACGTGACACCCGATGGTCGGGCGCCATCTCGCCGCACGAGGACCGGGCCCAATTGGGTGGTTTCTTGGTTCCAATATTCTGTTTGCTATGTGGTGGACTACTTGGACTTGAGGGTGATTTGCAATTTGGATTTCTGCACTTCGGTCACACATGCATGGTTTCTTGGTTCCAATGTGCTGTCTGCTTTTCGCTTGACCACTTGGACTTCAACGTGGTTTGCAATTGGAACTGATGTGCCATCTGCTCTTTGCTTGGCTACTTGCTTCCAATGTGTTGTTTTTGTCACATGGATGGTTTCTTGGTTCCAATATGCTATGTGCTCTTCGCTTGATTACTAGGACTTCAGTGTGGTTTGCAATTGGAACTTATGTGCCATCTGCTCTTTGCTTGACTACTTGGTTCCAATGTGTTGTCCTGCTCACATGGATGGTTTCTTGCTTGGCACCATCCGGTGCCGCGCCGAGAGTCAATGGTGTCCCCGTCCAGACCATGAACCGGACCATCAAGCACCGACGCGACACCCGATGGTCGTGCGTCGCCTCGCCTCACGATGGTCGGGCTGGGGATGGATGGTTTCTGGGTTCCAATGTGCTATCTGCTCTATGCTTGACTACTTGGACTTCAACGTGATTCGCAATTCCGATTTCTGCACTTCGGTCACACATGCATGGTTTCCTGGTTCCAATGTGTTGTCTACTTTTCGCTTAACCACTTGGACTTCAACGTGGTTTGCAATTGGAAATGATGTGCCATCTGCTCTTTGCTTGGCTACTTGGTTCCAATGTGTTGTCCTTCTCAAATGGACGGTTTGTTGATTGGCACCATCGGGCGCCGCGGCAACAGCCGATGGTTGTCCCATTCACACCATCGGGCGCCGCGGCGACAACCGATAATCTCCCTGTCCACACCGTCGACCGGACCATCGAGCGCCGACGCGACACCCGATGGTTGAGCGTCGCCTCGTCGCACGAGGGTCGGGCCGGATGTGGATGGTTTCTTGGTTCCAATGTGCTGTCTGCTCCGTGCTTGACTACTTGGACTTCAGCGTGCTCCTCAATTTGGATTTCTGCACTTCGGTCACACATGCATGGTGTCTTGGTTCCAATGTGTTGTCTGCTTTTCGCTTGACCACTTGAACTTTAACGTGGCTTGCAATTGGAGCTGATGTGCCATCTGCTCTTTGCTTGGCTACTTGGTTCCAATGTGTTGTCCTTCTCACATGGATGGTTTCCTGGTTTGAATTTGCTATCTGCTCTTCGCTTGACCACTAGGCTATGAAACACCCGAGGACGCGTCCGTGGGTCCGATCTCGGATGGCGGACGCAGATGCGGCCGCGTCCGCGGCGGACGTGGTCCGCGCTGCATAACCGATTTTACCAGAATTTTTTTGAATTAAATAATAGGTTAATATATATATATATATGGGGTTGTAGGGAATTTTAAGCCCTACAACCCTATATTGTTTTTTTTGGAATCCGACTTTGTTTAGGATTTTAAACAAATCAAAAACTAAATTCGATTTAAAGAAAATTAAAAAATATTATTTAAATATATATATAAAAAAAAGCTGGATTTTTTTTGTTGTCATTTTTTATTATGAGATATATGGTCCCTGAGTTCACCTGTATTTTTTCATAAATGAATTTCTGTTTTTTATAGGGGTATGAGGTGTTTAAAAAAAATGCAGATGCAAAATTTAAAATAAATCAAGGAAAAACTTTAAAGAATGGGTTTTATTGATTGATTGATTGATTGTGAGTGAGTGAGTAAGTGAGTGTGTGTGTGTGTGTGTGTGTGTGTGTGTGTGTCTGTGTGTGTTTGTGAGTGTGTGTGTGTTTGTGTGTGTGTGTGTGTGTGTGTGTGTGTGTGTGTTTTGTTTTGTGTGCCA